CAAACAAAAGTGGATGTCAAAATCACATTGAGAGATTGTTAAAGATAGTTGCCCATCCTAGCTAACACTTCTCCTGCCCCCAGCCAGCCCAAAGGGGGGGGGGGGGAGAGCAGCAAAAAGTAGAGGGAAAATGATTATTCATAACAAAGTGATACTTATTTCCCCTTATCCAAAAAGAAAACTACATACATATTGCCATCTTACTGGGATCTGGTGGCGTAATGAAATTACCCATATACAGCTTTAGAGCTGCAAAAAAATTATACAGTTATACCACCACCTCAATCAGGAAATAAGGATAATTTGCCTTTATTGGTTGCAGATAGTTCTGCAGGAATTCTTACTCGTATTAGTCCACACAATCATGTAACAATGCCAAGTAGGCAAGTACTACTAAGGGAGTCATACAAGTTGGCTGACTGATTTTTGACTGAATAATAAGGCAATAAGTTGTGTTTCTGTACAAAAGCTATAACCATAAGCAAGGACCAACTAAGACTTGAAAATCCTTCACGTCTTTGAGACACAAATTTTTATTTGTTTTCAAAAAGGATATATATCAAAGTAAATTATTGCATCCGTCAAGAAAAACTCTAAGCTGCTAGTACTTCAGTCCTACCAATGCAACCAATGATCCCTTCCGTATTAAAAGAAATAAACTACATTAACTTTAGTTAATAATGCAACCAATGGTTTGTTGATTGAATGATCATTAGAACATAACAGAGGATGATTTTTGTACAACTAATAGCATCTACATCTGATTTTTTTTTCACTGACTAGTACTACCAATGCAAATCTCACTTGCCCCGGGCCTAATCAAGGAATACGGTTTGGTTAAAAAAAAACAGTAGTGTCCTTTGATTCTGATTCTTCTCTTTTACTTCTTGTTCCTTGTGCTGCTCCATCTTGTGGTTCCTAAGGGGACGAGTCACATTGTACTCTGCCCTTTTGGAGGATATATTCACCCAACTTGCTCAACCCCACTAAGCTTTTCCTCCAGTTTATAAGGAGTTTCTATCATGATATCTCTTAGACACCCTCTCTTGAAGTAAACCTCTGAGAGAAAAAAACCCATCTTTTTCCTTCCATCATCATTGCAAGTTTCAATTTATTCACCCTCCCTCTAAATTTCAGTCGCAGGCAGATTTCTTTAAGTTTCAGCCTGCCATTCACCAGAGCTTATAAACCCTTTGTTTTCAGTTGCTGCATCAAGATTTTTATAAATGGCATCCAATTCTCTCACTTCCTCACGTAGCTCTAGTTCCTCCTGGACACCTAAGCAAAACAAAATGTTCGAGAAGGCTCTGGCTAAATATAACCATCTTCTAGGTCGCATGCGACAATCTTTTTACAACAGTTTGCACTTTACACAGGACCAAACCCATTGATATTGAATCTATCTGGAATTATTGGCTGCATCGTTACCTCAACAGATAACGTTTTTAATGCTTTTCTCTTCTTTTGGATCTTAAATCGTTTGTGTTTTTTCATAACTTTTTAGAGTTATTATAAAGGTTTCCTATGTGCCATATAAATAATTCATAAATTTCCTTTATAAATTAAAAGTCTACTTCTAACGTATTCTACTTGTCTTTCAGGTTCTCTCAAGAGTTAAAGATCAATAGATCATAGTGAAAGAAGATTATGTTATGCAACCGGAGACCTCGATTGCAGAAACACTGTTACCGAATATTCCAAAAAATTATTATTATTTGCTCTTTTTATCTCTTTGTATTTTCGTTTGGCCTTGTCTAGCTAGATTAAATGTCAAATATATTTTACTGAAGATACATAACTTAGGTTGCTAAATTATTAATTATATACATGTAAAAATAATAAATCATACTACTAGTACCTAAACTTTAGGTTGTGTATCGATTTTAGCATTAAATTGTCACCGGTTTATCGTTCAAATACTAAAATCGATTCACAATCTAAAGATTAGTCACTAATGATATAGTGTATCCAAAACAAGATTGTGGTTAGAGGTTACAGTTGATCGAACAGAATATGCAAAATTACAAAAACTGCAATCCAATTGTAAATAATCGAACAGAATCTGCAAAATTACAAAGCAGCCAACAATCGGACAGAATATGCAAAATTACAAACAAAACCAGTTTACATGACTGAGAAACAGACCTGCTTAACCGGTGAAGAAACAATCCAATTGAAAATCCCGTTGATCTTGCAAATCAACTAACATCAACAAAACTGCAATGAGAACTTAATAATAAATTATGAGTATCTTTAATGATCAAACTGAAATCAATATTACGAAGCGGAATTGAAAAGGTTCTCTTTAAATTCAATAAATGAAGGTGCAGAGAATAAAAATGAAAGAAAATAAAGTATCCGACCTGATTAAAGATGGGAGGTTATCCACCATTTTAAAAGCAACCGGTTCCATTTCCCATTTAAAAGCGGAATATGTTGTTTCGTAACGATGACTTTTGAGAGAAACGAAAGAATGATAGGAAAATAATTTTGGAAGAAGAGCTGAAATTCGAATGGAATAAAAAGAGTGCTGTTAAGCGAAATTTTGCGCCGGCGTAGAATTCCGAACTGAAACCACTAGGAGAGATGATTTTTTTTACAGGTTAACTACACTGTGATCCAAATTATCAAAATTTAAAGTTTGAATTGACTTTAAAGCTTGCGAGTTTAAAATTTTTAAACTTGAACTCGAAATGTTTTCAGTCTTAGCTTGATTGAAGCTCAAACTCGAGCTCGGCAATCGAGCTCGGTTCATGCTCGAACTCAAATTCAAACATGAACCTTAAGTACATATAAGTCTTATATTATATTTTAAAAAATAAAATATATAAATGTTAATATTATTAATAATTTAATTTAAAAATTAATAATTTAATATATTATTTTTTCGAGTTGCCTAATAGTTTTTTGAGTCTGATATCAAATAGCTCGTATCGACTCGTTAAAATTTGAGTCATGTTTGAGCTTAAGTCGAATCCATTTGACTCGGTTGTTAACCTAACTTTAACTTAATCGAACTCGAATAACTTACGATACTTCTCGTCTTATTTACAATCATAAACATCAACATTGTTCTCAATTGTTAAAACAATGTGCATCAATCTTCGTTGTAACATCATCGCCGATAGTTAGACAATTGCAGCTTAATATATAGGCTCGAACAATGTTATAATCAGGGAAAAACACAGTTTTATATTAGAAAAAATAATGAATTTTTCTATTTTTAAGAGAAAATAAACTTATAAAATTTTAGATGGACGAAAATTTATTATCAATTAAAAATACAAAAAAATATATCTAAAATATATATTTATTTGATATTTTTGGGGCGATTGTCCCACCCTTCAGTCCATCTCTAATCTTAACTATGCATTTCAAGTTTGATAATTTTCTCATGTTTCCAACCTTTATTTTTCTACTATTCTTAAATAGTTAAAGTAATGTAGTATTTCTCCTCAATGCGATGCTTCGACTTGCCGATTCAAATACTATATCGATCTCCGAGTCCATAATTCATCCATTGCGATGAACAATGAGGCAATTTTATTACTCATCTTCCATGTTGAGTTGTATAATATAACAACCTTTCATTAGCTTCAGTCCTATATATTTTCATGAATTTAATTTAATTTCCAAACAATGGAAGATTATATGAGAGAATGACATGGTTTAATATTATGGGTGTGGTAGACGTAATGACATGATTTATTTTCTAAAAATAATTATAATTTTATATTAAAGATAAGTTGTAGTATCATAGTAACCTTGAAAAATGTTATGATGCGACTATTGCACTGTGTTATTGTCGTAATTTAATACTATGATGTTGAGAACTGAAGATAAATGATACTCGAAGAAAGTGAACGAGTCAAGTAGTGGATCAGAAGTATTTTTCAAAGTGGACACGTATATATTGATAATATAAAATTTTTGTATGGGATAGGCGTCAATATTAGGGTGGGCACCATCATTAAAATGAACAACAAACATAAAAAAATTTGAATTTCATGGAAAGCATGTGTCTACCCTGAAGTATATATGTATCCGACATCGAATGAGTCCATTGATGATGACCATGACCATGACGGGAGAACTGGGAAATGTGGTCGTTAAAAAATTTTGGGATTAAATGTAAACTGATTTTTAGTTTTGTAACGAGGTTGCTGGAGAAGAAATAAAAACATAAAAGTTATGCACGCATATAGGTTAGAAACGAAGAATATATATGTACTTGATATATTGTTGATCATTTTAAGTGTTAAATATATAGAGTATGCCGTCCAATGAATGGACAAAAGTGAATACCCATGGAGTTGGTCACCGAGAAATCAGTAAAGCGGTAGATTTTCTGGATTCTAGTGCGGGATATGACGGAAGGTGTTCGAAGAGACAATACTGGTGACTAAGATATTTATAAAATTATAATTACAAATATCAATTATTTTTAACGTGTCACATTAATTAAAGTGACAATAAATAATAAGTGAATAATAAAAACATGATAAATCGATAATATAAAAAATAAAATATAAGTTTTTTAAATTTAATAATTAAAAATGAACTAAACTTAAACATAAATGACTAATCTTATACTTTACCCTTAAAAACATAAATAAATTGTAATAACACAACACAACATGGCATGTTTGGTGATAACGTCCTCCAGATTTCTGTATTGAAAGCGCATTTGAAGAATTTCTTTTTCTTTTTTTTTAACGACTCTTACTTAAGAAAGTGAAAAAAGTCCTTAATACTCTGATAATTAATTTCAAAATACCATAATATTAATAAATAATTTCTGAAAGGATGATTATACGGGTAAAAGAACCCTTTTTAGGGTCGGTTTGGGGTCCCATTGGATTTATTCTCCAACCAAAATGTATTTCCACCCATTGGGTAAAATTTCAACCGGTTAAACCCTAGCAAGCAGCAGCCAGGGTTTAAGGTGGTTCGCTTGTCCTCGTCTCCCAGAATTCGCCATTCCTTCTCCCTTTTCCTTTCCTTATGATTCGAGACCAATCCTAACTCATTGCTGACCCCCCTTTTAACTTATTTTGCTTAATCACAATGTCTGCTTCTAGATTATCATCATGCGTAGCATTAGCTGCCGCCGCCTCCACGCTCCAGAACCGTTCGTACGCCGATTCTCCATTTTGGTTTCCGTTCTCCTCATCCTCTTCTGGTTCGCGGGAAGAGCAATCATCAAATGCGAAGGACGAGCCCGAGGAGCCCAAAGGGGCAGGGTTTGATCCAGAGGCTCTCGAAAGAGGCGCTAAAGCTCTTCGCGAGATTAACAACTCTCCTAATGCCAAACGAGTTATTATTTATTTTTACTTGCCTTTTTATTTTTCGCTCTTAGCAAATAACGAAACGGAATTAGATTTATAGGAAGTTTGATTTCTTTGTTTTGACACATAAATAAGTTAAAGGAAAACGCTTAACTGGCTGGGGATTCACAGGGTGATCGAGGGTTGTGTAGAATTAATTGAGTTGCTGATATGAAATTTTGTTAACTTTTGCTTCTTCAGGTTTTTGATCTTATGAGAAAGCAGGAACAAACAAGACTAGGTGAGTTAGATGCTGAAAAAGCTCATTATGAAGCAATACAATCGCAGGCTGATATTGTGAGTGATAACCTAAACCCTTCCACAGTTTCAATTGCCTTTCTTCCAGTCCATTGGTCTAATCATTTTGTCACAGCTCACAATTACCGCTTAGCAATGCAGTTTGTACAAATACTTCTATGGTTTTACTGCATATTACGACCATCGTCCATCACATTGACAGGAAAGGCAAAGGAAGTTGGCTGAGGAGCAACGGAATTTAATGCAACAACAAGCTCAAGCAAAAGCGCAAATACTACGATATGAAGATGAGTTGGCTAGAAAAAGAATGCAGGTAAAAGGAGCTGTATTATCTCTTTCTTTTTAATTCCATGTTAAACTCGTGTAGAAGGGTTGGAACTGATAGACAATGAGTTCAGTCTTGAAGCGGACATTAGACATCTGTCCTTCCACTAGAAGAAGCTGTGTTACATGTCTTGCGTGTGATTTTTACTTGGGAATGTGTCTGACGTGGGATGTTTTGTATTTATCTCAGCATTTACATATATTTGGAGGTTCCTTGGAGTATTATATATATTCATACTCATATCTAGACGTGTGATGGACATGAGTATTTAAAGAAAAATGAAGAGTTGGAGAAAAAAGATTGTAACATGCGCTTAGCATTGGTTGGTAATAATATCTAAAAAAAGAAATCATCTTTTAATCATGCTAACTTGATTATCAACTATCATAATTCAATCCTTCTATATTGAAACTTTGGTTTGGTTGGCTTAAGATATTGTAGTATTGTATGTCTCTTGTTGGTGTAAGTGCCAGGGTTTTGTTTTGACTTTTCATTTAGATGTTCCTTCTCTCCCCCTAAGTCCCCTTCAAGCATCAAATCTACTTTAACTCTTCTATCAAACTATCACATTTACAATCTTACCGATCTTTGCAGACAGATCATGAAGCTCAGAGGAAACATAATGCTGAATTGGTTAAGATGCAAGAAGAGTCATCTATCAGAAAAGAACAAGCAAGACGAGCTACTGAAGAGCAAATACAAGCTCAGCAACGCCAAACAGAGAAAGAGAGGGCTGAAATAGAAAGGGAAACTATAAGAGTTAAGGCCATGGCTGAGGCTGAAGGACGTGCCCATGAGGCAAAATTGACAGAGGATCATAAAAGGCGGATGTTAATAGAAAGGGTGAATGGAGAAAGAGAGAAATGGCTTGCTGCAATTAATACAACGTTTAGTCACATAGAAGGTATGTTTTTGTATTCTTTGCTCTTCTGGTATCTGTCTTGTATCTTTATGACTATTAAAATCCAACTGGAGGTTCTTGCATGGTAACAACATTTCCTTGAAAAGAAAATTTCAGGGGGATTTATAACTTTATTGACTGATAGGAATAAGCTGCTTATGACTGTTGGAGGAGTTACTGCATTAGCTGCTGGTGTTTATACGACAAGGTATATTTATTTTTGTTGCTGCTTTCAATCGAAGTTTGGTTTAATGAATTAAACTATTTAAAATTTTCCCTCCTCCCTCTTATTTCTGCCAAGTTTTGATGTCGTTAAAATTTTTGCATGTTCACACACTCCTAATTAGCAAACAACATATACTAATTTTCTTTGTCACAAAGGAAAGCTCATCTCAAATGTTTGAGACACTGAAAGTAGGTTTTTATATAATCCAATCAAGACATCTCCATTTGGGCGGTAGGGATTTTTTTTGGATGTGCTGCTGTGGTTGATGTTATCATGTTAACTAGATTTAAAAATGTTATAAAAAGACGTGAAATGATATTGGCCAAAGCCCTTAATCTGCCATATGACGAATGGTACTACCACAGCTGATGGCACCTTGAACTCTTCCATCACCAGCATCTTTTGGGGTGGGATAACTGTAATTATAAGCCGATTGCTACAATGTTTGGTTGCCATATTGGGCTGTGCCCAATTCACTAATTTATAGGAAAGATGAACTGTTTTATACCCTCAATAGGCTCTCATGTTTATGTCACAAATGCGTTCTAACTTTAATCTACAAGATTTATTCTCTTAGTGCACTGCTATTAGCATCGTGTTAGGCTGTGCTCTATTCACAGATTTGTAGGAAGGATGTATAATTCTGAATTGAGTATTGGCCTATTTTTATGTCACAAAGACATTCTCACTTTAATTGATAACCAGCTCTTAAATCTTTTTCCCATTTCAAGGCATGTTAAAAATTGAATTCGTTATTGTGATCACAGAGAAGGAGCTAGAGTCACATGGGGTTATATTAATAGGATTCTCGGACAGCCATCACTGATACGAGAATCATCCATCGCTAAATTTCCATGGTCGGGCATGATGTCTCAAGCAAGGAACCGAATTATAAATTACAGTACAGCAGCACCATTGGAAAGCAAAAAGAGTCTTCAGAATGTTGTTCTCCACCCCTCACTGAAAAGGAGAATAGAGCATCTTGCTAGGGCTACATCAAACACCAAAACCCATCAAGCTCCTTTCAGAAACATGCTATTTTATGGACCTCCAGGTACTGGTAAAACAATGGTTGCAAGGGAAATAGCACAAAAATCGGTAAGTGGTGATTTGTCATTTCATTCCCCCCACACCACCCATCATACATACTGTGAGATACTTGTACCATACCCTCAAATTGCTGCCTTAGCAAATTGTTTCAGTATGGAGCAATTCTATTAGCTTCATAATATGAAATACAAAAGGAAAATCAACTGAGAATGTTGAATTTCATAGAGAATTACTTGTCTATCTGAGAAGTAATAGTCTTTCCTATACATTCAAAATAGGAGATTACAAATTTACAATATCTATTATTGAAATAAATAAGTCTTCTTGAGTTCCCTGTGGCCAGAATAGATCCAACTTTTGACCATACTTAGTTCTTTTGCTGTCTTTTGACACTATATGTTGCAGGGATTGGATTATGCAATGATGACAGGAGGTGATGTTGCACCACTGGGTGCTCAGGCTGTCACCAAAATCCATGAGATATTTGATTGGGCTAAGAAGTCAAAGAAAGGTTTATTGCTTTTTATTGATGAAGCTGATGCTTTTTTATGCGAGTAAGTTTACCATATCCTTGGCTTGTGTAAAGTTTCTAGGTGGAATTGCAATCTGCATTTTGCCAGCGAATGAGTCCTTTTTGTTGACAGCATTAGTAATTGTGATGTTGATTTCATAAATACAGACGTAACAGTATACATATGAGTGAAGCACAGCGGAGTGCTTTGAATGCATTGCTCTTCCGAACTGGAGATCAGTCAAGAGATATAGTTATTGTGCTTGCCACAAACAGACCAGGGGATCTTGACAGTGCCATCACTGATCGTATTGATGAGGTGATTGAGTTCCCACTTCCTGAGGAGGAAGAACGATTCCAACTTTTGAAGCTTTATTTAAACAAATACCTTGGTGGTGAAAGTGATGGTAGTACATCTAAGTGGGGTGCTCTGTTCAATAAAAAAACACAGAAGATAACCATAAAAGATTTGTCTGAAGATGTGATCCGAGAGGCTGCCAAAATGACGGAAGGTTTCTCTGGCCGTGAGATAGCGAAACTCGTGGCTAGCATCCAGGCAGCCGTCTACGGCCGCTCAGACTGTGTATTGGATTCTCAGTTGTTTAAGGAAATAGTAGATTACAAGGTTGCAGAGCATCACCAGAGAATAAAATTGGCAGTTGAAGGTGGTTTGCCATCTTAGCTTTGCATGTTTTCTAAGAATGAATTGCCTTAATCTTCCTTTTTTTACGCTTGAAACCATGGATGTGGGAATTTTGTTTTTGTTCTTACATATTTCGGCAGATGGTCGATACATGATTAGTAGTGTTTGAATGAAATTATGGATTGTATTACGCTCATCACCCGTTTTAAATTGGGATTTTTTAGATTTATTGCAATAACATACTTCTCTCTCGTGCTTTTTCTCAGTTAATTCGCTGTTAGATTTTACTTCTTATGGGAGCTTGATTATGGAATCAGCTTGATATCGAATCCCATCTCTACCAATATATATTGCAATGCTGGCTAAATGTGTTTTAACACGTGTATAGGATTATTGCCAATAAATTAGTTTGTTATTATTTTTAACTTCATAGGTAGGCAGAGAGAATAAATTAAGACGTGTCTCTATTTATTATTTTTAAAATAGTCAATTTTTCAAACTAATAAATTAATTTGATGATTTTGATAGATATATAATTAAAGTATTTTTCCTTTTAATATGGTAGTATAAAATTATAGATTATAATGAAAAAGTAATTAAATATAATTGATGTAAAAGTAAAGATAAAATACACCGAATATCATTTTTTTACTAATCGAGCCAAAGAGTAATGCCTAAGATGTAAGGGTATAAGTGGTAATATTTGTCGATCGAATAAAACAAACAACGCTAAAATTTCTATGCATAGCCAACAAGGCACGAGCTTCACGCTGGTAAAAAGCAAGAATCGAGATATCATGTGTCTTGCGTCCCAATTTCTTAGTGAGCATTGTTCAATCAGTTTCGATACATACGCGTTACCAACCGTGATCACAAGCTAAACGAAGGCCAGCGGTCACAACATGGATCTCAGTCAACCCTGCCTCTCGACAACCAAAAGAAGTATGTGTCAGGCCACCAACTACTAGGCCATTGTGATCCCTCGCTAGAACGTCAGTAGTTGTTGTGTCAATAATCGGATTGAGAGCACCATCAATATTGATCCTGATCATATCATCGGCAAGTGACCTCTGACAGCATGGTCGGACACCATTGGATCTCGTAGTAGCTCCCTCAAGATCGGACTACAACCTGCTCGTCTCCATAGCCATCAAGAATTCACGATGAAGAAACTGCACATTAGCGACTAGTACCCACGTCAGCTGGAGACCATTCCCATGCACATAAGAGTTGCGACCGTTTCGAAGGTTCCGAATCAGCACAAGAAAACTTGCAAAATCAACATGACCAAAAATGTCTAATGCACCTTCAAGCCAAGCCAGCGGAGATGTCCCTAGAGTCGTCCATAATGAGGCTGGAAAACGAGCCATAGTAAAGGCCTCACGCGTTCGGGCACAACTACATTGGGCATGTAGTAGAGGTGTTCATAAATGGGTACCCAGACTTTCGGGTGCCAGAGATGTTAGATACTCGATTATTCGGATAGTATATTTGTCAGTTTGTGTTTCGACCCGTGGTTATCAGGTACCTGCTAATCCGGTAGCCGATTAAGATTTTTTCTTAAATCCAATTTTTTAAAGAAAAAATCATATAGGAAACACATAAAATTTAAACGTTCATAATAAAGGATTAATTATAGATAGATCATTATATTTTTTATATTTATTTAATAAGAATAATTTAATTAAATATGTATATCGATGCGTCACTTTAATGATGTATTTCGATGAATGATATGAGAAGTAGAATTTTTACAATTTCTTAATCAAATTAATAATATACCCAAATCAAGCTCAATACATGCAACGTTACTGAACATTTGGAACCAACATATTCATACTATTCACCAAAAAGATAATTCTTTATTCAAAAACCACAATGAAAAACATGATCACTACCAATGGTAACATATGTCCATTATAAATACTCTTTTTATTGGAGTCAAGAAAAATTCAATTCGATTAAAAAAAGTTTAATTTTTTGATTCAACTCGACGTTAAAGAATTGAATTTGACTAGACTCTTAATTTCATAAATTCAACTCGACTCAAAATAAATAAAATTTGAGTCATAAAATATGACTTAAATAACTTGAAATTTTTAATAATTAGTAAATAGATTTTTAAGTTCTATTAAATCATTCAGTATCTTCAAACCTTGGTTCGTCTGCCATCTCATCGTCCAAAAACCTTTTGAGGGTAGGAAGCATAGATTTAGATAATGGTTTGATATTAAAATACGGTTGTTTTATAGCGGTGATTGTGTCGTCCGAAACCATTATTGAATGATTACAATATCCGCAATGATCATAATAGTATTTGCTATGTTTATAATCACGATAAATATAATGTAATTAGAGATACAATCGCAATTTTAATCCAAAGTGGAAAGCATCCTTACCGAGAATGAGCGCGTCTTTAGAGCTTACAAGTAGAGTTTGGACAAGCCAAGGTAGGATTTTTAACAAGTTTTGTTCCTCCTTGAAACTTTATCTTCTTCGTAGAGAGCCATTCTAAAGTATATATATATTGATAGAGTTAGATACCATCCCGACGAAACAGTAAACTACAATAAACTATAATTTGTTTTTGTCTGAAGGGTTGTTGGCATTTTATGGCCCCACAATTTTCAAATCATCTCAAAGACTATAATCTCGGTGAAAAAAAGAAGACAAAAATATCAACAACAAAAATAGTTCATGCAAAATAATAAAAAAAAGCCAACGACAAAAATGATAAATGAGAAAGGAATAATTTGTGTGCCTTTATATATTCTGGGGCCATGAAAATAAAATAAAATAAAAGTAGGTAACGAATATCAAATGCAATGCCCGCCCCAACGGCATCCTTTGCCCTAATTACACGTCGCATACTACCACCATTTCATCTTCCCCAAACAAGCCCAAGTCTAGCCACGTTGCCCCTCGCAACGCTACGTTTCTGTTTCTCTTCCTCCTTGTTTCCCTTCTTCTCTCTTTTTCCTCCATAACCAACACAACATTGTAGTATTTTCAAATTTCAGACTTGTTTCTATGAAGACAACTGCCTTTTTTTAATTTCCTCTAAGAAAATATTCTAGACGATAAAAAAGATGTAGAAGAATGATGGTAATGATGTTATCAGAGGAAGAGGAGAGCTACAGAGGGTGAATGTTGCGGTACAAAATGCCCAAATCAAAGCAGAAACAAAAAAAAAGTCAAGCAAGGTGCTGCTGAACCCATGCAAGATCCCGAGGACTTATGGTCTTCTTCACAAGTTCCCCGAGTAATAATTCAACATAACCGTGGTACCGGCAACGACGGTGATATCGGTAATGACCGCAATAACACATTTAATATGTTTTATATTATGTCACTTAACATTTTTTTATTACTTAGGTTGGTTAATTCTATAAAGCAAGTTGAATGTTATACAATGTTCTGCCTTTTCTGCAATTGAGAGAAAATACAATTTACTTAAGACATTTTTAAGTGCAAAGTCAAGCATGATGATAGGAAAAGCGAGTGGCCGGAATATAGATACCCTTGTTTAACAGTGAGGCATTCCATGAATCAATAAGGGTAACTTTGGCCTTTATTGCATTGTGCTAGAAATTAATGTGTTTGATTAATGCCTAGGTTTTGCTATATTGCTAGTTTTGGAAGTGTAAAAGAATCTCTTAACGTTATTGGCTTTGTATGTTAAAATATTGGTATTTATACTTATGCAAACAAACATGATTGAAATATGAAGTATAGTAATTATGTATTTAGTCAAATTGGAGATCGGTTTAGTTTAATAATGTGTTGGGGTGCATGTTTTACAATGGTAATGGGTTTAGCTTGAGTTGTGGGATCTGAATATGATAATGCCAGAGTGGCAGCAAAAACATATGTGGGATAAAGTTGGAGATGTTGCCTCAAGGACACTGGAGGCAACCAGTTCTGCATCCTCTTTCAACAATTAATTCATCTTATTTCTTTTATAGAAAATATAATGTGAAGCCAAAGTTTGTTCTTCTAATTTATCTGGATTTCTTTTCTTTTCTTTTTGTTGGTATGTATGATATACTTATGTCCTTTCAGAAGCGTCAAACTATGTTGCTAATAAAGCTAGAGAGGGAACAAATGGCTGGCTATGAAGTTGATAATGCTAACCAGAATGTTAACATGGCTGCATGTGCTTCAGATAAGTTTGATAATATTAGAGACAAAGGCAGGAACAATGGTGTAACGCCCCCAACCCGTATCCGACCCGAATACGAGTTCGAGGTGTCACATTGACTTTTCAAAACATTTACAAAACTATTCAGAGCTTATACAATATATTCTTTTGAATACATGCCAACTAGAACTTTATATACAAAAAGACTTATTATTCACCTCTTTTCTGATCTGACATTATGTAAGGAGAACTGACCTGTCTTGCTCCCCATTGCTCTTTACTCTTCTCGAAACCTACATGTAAACCACTTACATGCTAAGTCTATGACTTAGTAAGGCAAATAAACATATAATGTAAACTATAACTTGTAATCATGCATGAACAATTACTGCTACCATAGCATACCCAAACATATATATGTTCATCCATCAAATCCATACATGCATATTATTATCTTCATTCCTATCATTATCATTTTATTATCATTCATATTTTTATTCTATTGTTCATATGATTTATTATGTTCATATCATATATCTTATAACATATACAACAATCACTAACACACATATATCCTGTCATATAATTCATATCCCAAAACATACATATCCCATACATTGTATTCAAAATCATCTCTTGTTAGCCCATGTACACATGTGAGAACTGTAAATATGTGAGTCTATTGAGGTTGTGCACTATGTTGTCACCACAGCTCGTATAATTCCCACTAGGGCTATGAAATTTGTCCCGAATGACCTATCCAGAGGTCATAAAGAACCTCGACAATTGTCCATAGATCCCGAAGAACCTAGGTAAAATGTCCATATGTTCCTTAGAACATAGGTATACTGTCCATATGTCTCGAAAGACATAGGTAATTCTATCCATATGTTCCGTAGAACATAGGTAAACCCTCTACTCTTTGCATGCCAACTATACCTATCGCTCTCGTATCATATATCATGGGCATTTTCACTTACATCATTCCACATATACACTTTCATATCACATGTCATATAAGCTCATAGCTTCTTTCACATATACATGTAGTCACGTAGTTTCTTTTCACGTAGTTCATGTAAATTCTCATATGATTTCATATTCATACTTCACATGGCCCATATCACTTTTCATGGTCTCACATATATTTTCCATATAACTCATATCATATGATTCATATCTTAGTCTTCTTTCATCATATATATATCATCTATGTTCATTCACTTAATATCTTATGTTATCATTTAGGTCAACCTTACTTAGTTTATCTCACTTTTCATTTATTCACTTAAATCTAATTCATGTAATTGATACCTTATCATCATACCATTACCTATACCCGTTACACATGAAATCACATATAACACCTATGACTATATTCATGCATAAATAATAATCATATCACCCATATTAACATTCATAAAATCATGTAATCAAATATTGGAAGTAGACTCATCGCGAGTCTTTTCCACACACATCATATACTAATGCATATGCACTCACCTTAGCCTTGTTTGCTTTGAATCAATCCTAATCATTCGATTGTTTCGGTACAAGCTTTCCTTATATATCTACATAGTAATACATTGATACTTATCAGTATACTAATTGATATATTCTAAACTATCACTTCTTAGGCTAAAAGAAATGCTAATTTCATCTCTTAATGAAGGTATGTATCGATGCACAACACCATGTATCGATGCATCCCTTGACGGGTGCATCGATGCACTATCTATGCATCGGTGCATAAATCTCATTCGATGTTTGTATTTTAAGCAGGTGCATCGATGCACTCCTTATGCATCGATGCACTAATTACATTCGATGTTCATTTATTTGAGAGTGCATCGATACACATTGAAGATGCATCGATGCACACAACCCAGAAATTCCATTTCAAGCACGAAATTCACTCTCTTTCATCTCAACTCTTCATCTTTCCCCTCCTTTAATATTCCTAACTTTCATACACATATTTACACTCATTCTTACTCAATAATCACTTCTTTAACCTCCAAATCATATCCTTTATATGACATTCAAGAATCATACGCAAATATCAACATGTTCTAAATCTCATCCTAACACTTCCTATTCCTTATTTAGATTGATGACAAGTTAAATCCAACTTCCAATTATAATTATTAACTCTATAACAAAATTTCATTCAAAAACTCACAATCTTTAATCTCTTCTAATTCCTTCATCTTTTTGATTTTAAGATAACTTAAGCTTTCCTTAAGCTTAGTTATCATCTAATAATCATAAACCCATCTTAAATTTAACAAGAAACTAACTAACCAGAAACTCACCTTTGTTTTGGGTTCTCACGCATGAAGGAAGAAGAAGAGAAAGAGAACTCTGGAAGCTTGTAGATTTCTCTTCCCTCCACGTGGTTAATATATAACCTTTCTTTAATTTAATTATTTCCCTTGCAAAAGACCCTTTTGCCCTTCACTTTATCTAATAATTACTTACCTCTTTCAGGTAATATTTCCAAATAAATCATTGAACTATTACATTCTTCTACTTTAGTCACCAAGTTTTGAAATTTTACAATTTAGTCACTAACCCATAGATTGAGATGTTACAAATGGCCTATTGGAAAGACGAAGCAGCCAATTCCTTGGCGAAGCTTGGTTGAAGACAAGAGTGTGGTTTCGGATGAGAGTTATGATGTCAAAGAGAAAATTATATATATGATGTAGTAGAGAAGAGATAAATGAGCTAATAGTTATGATCAAGCCACAGTCAGTGGCGGATCCATTGAGGGATGAGATTGGGTGCGTGTCCACCCTTAAATCCGAATTTTCTTCGGTTATTTATTTATTTTACTGATGGTATTCCCCTGAAATTTTATTTGTGCCCACCTTGATACATGAATTTTCTTCGGTTAATTACCTATTTTACTGATGTTTTTCATCCTAAAATTTTATTTGTGTCCACCCCAATAAAAAATTATGTTGTAACATATATGTGACCACCCTCTAAAATATTTCTGGTTCCACAATTGAGCCACACACATATGCTTCAAACATGGTTTCTGATAAAGCTGAGGCTGATCAACAAAGAAACAATATAAGGGAATAATCTTTTATACCTTTTTTCCCTTTAAATTCATTGTTTGAGGAATGTCCATCCTTTCCTTTTATTTCCTCTTATCTACATATGCACAAGCAGACAGTGGTTGATACCCACCCTGAAATACGAATTTTCTTTGATTGTGTCCGTTTTGAAATTTTATTTTTGTTCACCCCATATAAAAATTGTGTGATAAATATGTATGTGTACACCCTCAAATGTTTCTGGATTCTCCACAACATCTAGATATAGGCATTTAGATCTTATGAAAACAATTTGTGCACTATCTTTTGCTCATTTTACTATTATGTTTAATAAATTTGAGATTATAATCTTAGTATGATGAAGAACTATCGATGTTTTTGACGCCGGACAAAATAATGATTATCTTGCAGGTGCTCCAACAGATGATTCACAAGAGAAAATTCGCCCAAAAAACCAGAGAAAAAAGTTTCTAGAGTTTAATAAAATATTATAAAATCAAACAATGACCAAAATCAGTCCACAAGCCGAACTGTTATAGTAAAAAATCGTCTTTATTCGAATTTTTTCAAAAATAGCAAAATCCCGAAAATCACTCTAAATTGAAATTCGAAATAAAATAAGCAATCTTCAAAAAATCTGGCCTAAATCGGATTTAAATTGACTTCCTAATTGACAATCGAAATATTACTATAAATAGTAAAAAATATCTAAATCTAGTGATTCGAAGGGGAAAACGATAGAATTTGAGGTTGAAAAAAAGGCCACATGGGGCATAGCTCGATGTGGAGAGCGTGCGCGTCGAAAAGAGCTTTCCGGATTGGGATCTTATGCGCGATTCTGACACCTGTAACTAAAGTTTTGGCCAAAAGACTGAAACATACTCAAAACGACCCCAATAAGGAACATGCCACAATCAATTCCCGCCTTTGCGTTGATCTGCCAATTTATGGTATCTCAACGCCATCAAAGTACAATATGACAATTCAGCATCATTTGTCTCGGATCCTCTGCATCAGCTTTACATTGTGGTCACCCTTTTATTTTTAGCTATAGATGTTCATTTATTTGTGTATTGTTCTTAAATGCCTGTGTGAGGCTATGAGCCTATGAGCCTATGACCACTATCTGTAGGACTTAGCAGAACTCCCAGCATTTATATGGACTTTTAACTTAATTTCCTTTTTTATTTTTCTCCCTCTATTTAACTTGTCCCTCTAGACTAGAGTTTACATTGTTGTTCAGTGCACGTAAACCCCTATTTAATTACTTGTGAAACTGAATACTTTGAATCCAACCCTTTTTTGGGCTGCTAAGGACACTTGGAATGAAAAGCAAAATTGGGATTTAATGACACCAATAATACAACACCAGCATGTTATTACTCACTGACATTTTCATGCAATTTCTCAGCTATCTGGTTACTTGTATAGTTGATTGATTTGATAAGCGCTATATTTTTCAAAGTGTTTGAAATCTCTCTTCCATGTATATGATTGTTATCTGCATCCATCAAGTTGATAAAAAGAAGAAAAAACACACAGAAAGAGCTTTAACAATAACATTAGTTTCAGTAGCTTATGTGTAGTCAATATCTGTTGTGTACATGCAAGAAATTATGTTGGCAACATTTTCCATTTTTCCAGCACTGAAAGAATCTTTCAACAAAGATAAGTCTCTTTCTGTCCATAGCTTTGATGGGTTTTGTTTGAGATTAGAGATGAATGTAAGATAAGAGTGAATTTATAAAATTTTAAAGAGAATAAATTTATAAAATTCTAGGAGATGAAAATATATTTTCAATCGAAAATATAAAAAATCATCTAAAACATATAAAAATTTGATATTTTTAGGGACGATAGTCTCCACTTGTTCTTCATCGTACTATCCTTGATTGAGATGCATTGTATAATGTATGGCTTCAGAACAAAGAAAATGTAGAACAGATTGCCAAGATGTTCTAATGGAACAAGTACTACAGATTTCATGTTCTGCCATTTGCGATTATGTCGGAAATTATCCTGGAAAAGATCATTGAATGATGGAAAACAAACATTTCTTGTTACAAATCATAAAAATTCAGTAAATATAGTAAGAGTTGTACTGTATGTCCTCTTTCCTATTTGGTAATGCACGTTTTTAATCCAGAGATTATTCTCTAAATCTGTCGATATTTTCTAAGAAATTATTTTTTTAACAACTTGGATGTTTTCTTACATTTTTCTCTTCATGGCTTGTTTGTTGTTGTGCATCCAAACTTTGAAAACTTGTCTCTTTACTCCCACTTGATCGCAGAACCGCTGCATGTCTTCTACATCTTGTTTCTGGATTCTCCACCCCAACTGATCGGCGAACTCCATCATCTTATCCTTCTGTTCTTGACTGAACTTTGTTCTAAATCTCTTCTTCGATGAATGTGGGTGCGAAGGTTCTCCTCCATTGAAATCAAACATATTGAGATCTTCCCTCCATGACTCCGCAGGGCCGCCGCCACCGCCACCGAAGTTCATCAACAGAGGTGGAAATCTTTGTTGATGATGATGATGAAGAGGGGTTGGTTGTTGAGGATCAAGACGACGTGCAGCGTTTCTTCTCCTGTTGTTTCCGTTAAGATTATAATAATAAGAGCTTGGTGCATATTGTGATTCCCCGTTTATTTCTTTCCTATGAAAACTTCTATGGCAATTGCAGGCTGCACATTTCATCGCTTCCGGTGTGTCGTCTTCGCCGCTCGGCATGAACTCCCCACAACCATCCACTACATGGCCGCCCATGCTGGCGGCGTGGTTCTTCAAGCATTCTCTATATCTAATCAAAGGAGTAGAGCCAATAGCTGCCGAGGTAGGGCCAGCGTCTGGCTGCAGCTGTGATGTTGGTGGCTGTTGCGGCGGTGATTTCAGGCTTGATCTGGTAGCAGCCGCAGTCGCTGCCTCGTTGTTGATAGCTATGGAAGCTGGATTTGGGTCTGGATCTCTTCTGGGGTTGAGCATTAGGGTTTGAGGTGGGTTCGGGTCACCATGAACGGTTTCATCTCTTCTTCTTTCTCCTGCAGCTGAAGAGTAAGAGTGGTTGTTGACTTAGAACCAAAATTAAAACCTTGATATTTTCAACCAACCTTTGATTAAGTACTAATAAACCAGTAATATGTATGTTCTCAAACCCATCAGCATTATCATGACCTATATGTGGCTGAGGGTGGGTGACTTTGATTTTAAATTCTTTTTATGCTAGTTTTTTAAAGGCAAATAGGATGTTTTGAATAATAATATTAAGGAGGTGGTTGGATGGAGGATTTTAGGATTCCTAGTAGGAATATTTTTTTTTTCTAATTAAAAATAACCATGTTTGGTTGGGTATTCTTTTCCAAGTGAGGGTAATATTTCTTTCCTAATAGTAAATATTACTGGGAATGTTATTCCCTCACACCCCTTAAATATTCATTTATTCCCGTGTTCTAAAGGCTAAAATACTCTTCTTTTCTTTTCCGTTTGCCCTCTGAAATATCTTCTTCTCCCAAGCAACATTGTTTTTGCCTTCGCGCTCTCTCTCAATGGAGAGTCGATGCATTCGTTAACAGTGTCAAGAAACTTCAACGAAGAGAAATCTGCTCTAAGCCACACCGTGCTTTCTCCATCAGCGATGCCCAGGAGCATTTCCGTAACATCCGATTGCAGGTTCTTTTTTTCACTTACTTGCCCTAACTTTGCCCTAACTTTTAATTCTTTTTTATCATTGTGCTAATTTCCTTCTGCATTTTTAAGTTTTTATTCTTTTTTTCTCCATTTCCTCTGTTTTTTGTTGTTCAAATTGCTCGAGAATTCTTCTTTATTATGATATACAGATTTAGTTGAGGTATCTTACTCGTCCAAACCTTAGCTTAACGCCTCGTCCTTTTCCTTTTCTTTTTCGAAATTGCGATAGAAATTTGAACATTTTAGCCCTAGTTGCGAATTTATAGAACAACGAAACTCTTAGCTCTGTATCTTTAATGTTAAAATTGATTTGATACATATTATCCGTTTAATAGTTTCTACTCCAAATTTTGCATTGGTTTATAATAAACAACTGAAATGACTGGAGCGCCTACAATTTTCAATTTCATCTTTACGAGGTACTGGTGCAAGCCTCATGTACTTCCGTTGTTCAACCTTTGCTCTTTTTTTCTTTTTTTTTTGTTGAAATCTTTAATGATGTTAACTATAAAAGAAAAACATTTAAAACGGTGGAACTTTTGTGTCTTCCTGACGTTAAATGAAAAGTTCCATGAATGATAGCTAATAAAGCTTTATTTGAGAAATGAGTAAGAAATGTAGGAGAATACCTTGGCTGATTTTGAAATTTAGATGCTTTATTTCCATTTGCTGGTGTTTCGGTAAACATGTTATATTGCTGCTATTTAAATCAATTTACCTTTTGTTGAATAGTAATATATTAATTGAGTAGGAGATACAGAAGGACATCTCTTTCCTCTCATTTACTTGGAAGTCTATCAGCTAAAAGTTTTGAACGTCAATGGGTGATATGTTACCTGTTTAGCCTCTACGTATTACTATTCTTATTGAAGTTGCTTATTATATTTGGTGATATGTTGTGTAATATGCAGAAGAAATATGATACTTATGATCCAAAAGGACATTGCTTGATGGTATTACCGTGTCTGAGGAAGAGATCAAAGATTATAGAGATTGTTGCTGCACAAGACATTGTTTTTGCTCTTGCCCAATCTGGTGTACATGCAACATTGAGTCGAGGTATTTTCACACTTATAAAATTATTTGGATGGGCATTTCTATTTCTGTTTGTGTCAAAATTTAGAATATGATAAAAATTATACGATGTTATCAAAAATTATACGATGTTATACACCATATCGGATAAAAATGTTCAATAGATTAAGATAAGGTAATACTCCTTTTCATGATGGTAATTCTTGCTACAAAAATAAAAATTCATTCAATGCTGATTTTTTTTTGTCGTTCTATTTCTATCAATATTTGATAGTTTGGATTCCTTTTGGTTCATTGTACAACTTGCTTTCTACTTCCTAAAAAGTGAAATCAAATGATAGATAACAAAAATTGATACCAAATGAGATTAAAAGAAAACACTGATTGTAAAACTTTCTGTTTTATCATCCAGAAGAATTACAGTATTGTATTGTGATAATATACAAGTATCTTTTAGTCCAGACAAGTTTTCATCTTTCTCATGGAAGCAAATGTACTAATTAACAATCAAATGGTAGCTTGTTTTCCTATCAAAAAAAATGGTAGCTTGTTTACTTGGAGTCACTGTTTAGCAATTGACTTTGTTTCATCATATCTTTCCTGACAGATTGAACCAGTTCAATCGAGAATCGGCTGGTCTGGGGGTTCATCTGTCTAAAATTGGAAATTTAAAGAATTATTGTGAGCAACTTCAAAACCAAAACCAAACATTGAAATAGGAAAAGCCGGATGAGGAAGTTCTTTTTAGGTTCTTTGTTAATAGGGTCTTTTTTTTTTAATTGGGTACTTTGTATTAAAGAGAGTAACAAAGTACACCACATCAAGGCCCTCATTAAAAAAACTCCCTAATCCTATATAGAGGGAAAATAGTGTACCTTGGGTGGTACAGAATAAATACACAAAATAGTAACATCATTCAGTACATACCCACACCTTACCACAAACACCAAACCAACACATAAAAAAACTAACACAGACAACCAACAATAAGAAAAGAGGTCACACTCTGAAATATGCATACAACAAAACCAGAGGAATGAACCAAGCACTGGAACATACTAGTAACAACACCCTGAACTTGACCGAAGGCACATCACTAGGAAAGAGACACACACTTGCTGAAAATCCTTCCACACTTCCTCGAAGAACAGTATGGGCACTACAAAATAAACCAACTAAATTGATGCTAACATCCACCCACTGAATAGTGGCCCAAACTAAAACAGTATGGGCACACTAATAAACTATCACCACACTATCTAAATACCCGCAAAATGTCAGAGCACCAAACATCACACCTCAACTCAGTGCTTCCCTAAAACAAACTTCAGAAAAGCTACCTCAAAGCCAGCAAAAGCAAGAGAATCCTCTTGCAGCAAAGAAAGCAACCATCACCGTCCCAGCCCAAGAGCCATCCTAAATGATAACCGAGCAAATGAAAGGGACCATCGAAGCCCGTTGCACTACCAGAGGCAATCTGGCGATAGTTGAACGGATTCAATAACTTGTAACTTCAAGGCTTTAAAGAGTAGAACCCCACAAGAACCTTAAAACGATGAAGAATCGAACGCACCATACTAACAATGAAATATCAATGAAAAAACATACAACAATCTGACCATCGAGGTTCAACCTAACAAACCACTCTAAAAAACCTTGAAACAAGACTCATCTGACTAGAGACCGGTGAGCTTACATTCGAAGTACTGAGCCAGCAAAGCACCCGGATCAACTAACCTATAATGCTGATTCGCTGAAACAACACCAAAACACAAGGCTGAACAATCCACTCAAGTACAGGCCACTAGACACCACCATCAACCAACCAGAACACAGTGAGATGAAGAGCTCCACCAAAAAAATGCTTGGCAACCGATAACCCTTCAGCCACAGAAACCAGACTAACACAAAAAATAAACCTACAGATAAACACTTGGAACTAAACTGCTCCAGCTCCTCTAAACACCACAAAACATCCTCAATACCTAAGCCTTAAACCTCATCAACCCCTGATAAACATGCACCAACCTCAAATAAATATGGATATACAAACTTGAGAATATGCGAATCCAACCCTAGATGATACTCGCCTACTCTTCTATAGAAAACACACACAGAAACTCACCATAGTGACCCTCAAACTGCCAAGAACCTTACCCAAGAAAGGAGAAAGCCACTAACACCGAAGCAGGAACCGAAAAAGGCCTAAGCACTCTCACTCATACACTATGGCATTAACACAAACAACTTGCATACAGATATATCCATCACGACCAGACTCCCGAAAACATATTTGTAACCCACTCAGAAATTCAAAAACTATGAAAGCTAATGTCAGAAGCAAGCCATATCTCAAGCACGAAACATCAAACAATAAGATACATGAGAAGACTTAGCTGGAAGAGAAATGAACAACCTCACCAAACTAGAAGAGAACTCCCAGCTAAACGAGTAGCAAATTTGGCGACAAAAGCCAAAATGAAACCTAATCCCAAAAACACCAGAGCAGGGCCAATTAAAACTTAAAAAGAACAAAGGAGGAATCGACAGTACTGGGATGGCTTAAGAAATCAGATGAGGAGCGGTCGAAAGGAGAACGTGAAAACAACAAAGACGAAGATGGTGGAGGCAACAACCGCCTCGCATGGAAACCTTGCCCATAAACTTGACTTCTTAATAGGGTCTTTAATTCGATCAATCGAACCAATTTAATTGAGAGTCGGCTGATCTAGTGGTTATAAAATTGGAAATCTGAAGAACTGTACTTAAAAACAAAAAATTGAAATAAAAAAAGATGGATGAACAAGTTATTTTATGACTTTTTGAATTTCTTTTTAGGTTCCTTGATAATATGGTCTTTAATCGAACCAATTCAATCGAGAATCGATTAATGTAGTGGTTGTAAATCATTCATAAATATAAACAAATATAAGAGCATACTTTATTCCATTAAAAAACATATTAATTCAAAATCGTTTAAAAACATTAAACTATTAGTATTTTTAAACTTTAAATAAGTAATATAAAAATATTTATCTAAAACGGTGTATGCAATGAACATTCATATTATCTTGAGTGATAACAGTAGAAGAAATAGAAAAAATATGATAAAATAGAAAAGAAATATTTGAATTATATTTTCTTACTTATTTGAATTATGTTTTTATAATATAAATTAATGAGATAAATAATATTGATAAAGTATGCAAAATTAAGTATAAATATAAAAGATAAATAAATAAATTATTGTATATAGAAGATATAATAAATATTATATCTTAGATAACAAAAATAGTTTACATCTTTTTATTATTATGAATATCTATGAAGAATTTCAACAATGTAAACATTTAGTTAAATGTTGATGTAAAATTTTAATATATTTTTACATAAATTATGTAAAATTTAATATTAATTAAAATTAAAATAATACATGATATATTTAAATACTCAAGTAATATATTATCAACAAATATATTTTTTATATAAATAATTTTTATTTAAATATTTAGAATTTCACTTGTTAAAAAAACAAATATAAAATAAGGATAATTTAATAAAAATATACATTCTAGTAATCTTTTTATTCCTTCAACCAAACACTGTAATCTTACATTCCTGCCAAACCAACCAAACACAGTAATGTAACATTCTCAATAATCCTATTCCCTGATAATCTTTTATTCCTACTGATAATCTTTTATTTCTACTGATAATCTTATATTTCGTGAATCAAACATACCCTAAAAGAAAACACACGCGTCTTCAACAAGACGCATAGGCTATACTTTACCTTCAGTTGTTCCGAGAAAGACGTGTGGACAAGATAGAGACAGAATTATGCAGGGCGTAGGGGAAAAATACATTAGAAGATATATTGTGGTCTATGTATCTTTTTCGAGAAAACTGAAAATGTACCGTCTTTCTTACGTCTTTTAAAATTACTGTTTGAAAAGCTAGAGAATAATTTTAGAATGTAATAAGTGGAAAAATTATTTTTTTTCATAATATTATGTGAGAAATTTTGTAGATATATATATATATACATGTGTAACAAGTCATCTGATGGAGAGGCAATGATTAGGAACTGCACCATTGTGCAAGCTCTAGAGGGCTTGTCGGTTCTACCATTGTCCCCATTCTCAAATAGTCATCACTGCTTTTCCAAAGGACAAACAAAACCCACCTGTTGCTTTGATATGTTGATTTTATGGGGTTGTATAGGTGAGTAGGAAACAACCCCCCACAAATCTCTGCTGTAAACGTATTTCCCTTTCCATGTCCTTTGTCTATCTTTAAACGAGCTTTCTTGCTTGGTTTGGTCTTAATACCTGGTCAGACCATTCTTACATAAAGAACACACTAACCAGTAACCACATACCATCTGATCAGCCTCCAGATTATAGTTCCGTTTCCTGTTTGGCTTCCAAATCTATATTTTTATTCACTTTTTAGGGTGTTTTTATAATGTAAATTTAATTAAACTATTTTTAGTCCCTTAAGGAGTTTCATTTGTCTGTATACTAAGATGCACTTGTCTTTGCTGCCTATCTTCGCTTTCAAACTTCTCGGATCCTACGTGTGAAACACTCACACGCTAAGTCACAGACTTAGTGAGACATGTAAATGAATAATAAACCATATAACTATTAACAATGCATGTACATTTCCTACAACACAATGCTTATATGCTCACATACCATCATTATCATTATTAATATTCTTATCATTAGTTCTTATAATCATATACTCTTATACCTAACATTTGTAACCATCATATAACTCATTTAACCAAACAATACAGACAACATTACATAAATCTTGTAATAAATTTCACATAACAAAGCATATACATCACATACAGTGTATTTGTTTTTACCTCTTTATTGGCCCACGTATACTTCTGAGAACTACTGATATGTGAATGCATTGAGGTTGTGCACAAATGCTATCACCACAACTCATATAAATTTCCACTGAGTGACATATAAAATTGTCCTGAAGGACCACGTAGAAATGTCCCTGAGGACCACATAGAATTCTCCTTAAAGACCACATATATATTCCAATTGACCAACTATGTGTCCCGAAGTACCGTATATATGTTCCAAATTATTACATATATGTCCCGTAGGATCACGTAGAACCCTCGACTCTTTGCATGCCAACTATACCCCTAGCTCTCATATCATATAACATGGGCATTATCATTTATATTTGTCATATAACTTATATCACATAAACATATAGTCACATAGATCACTTTCACATAGCTTATCTCATACTTTCATGTAATCACATATCTCTTGTCACATGTCTTATATCTTATGCTCATGTAATCATATAACTTATTATCACATATCTCATAGTCACATAGCTTATATCATTTATCCTTTTAATTACATAAGTCAAATAGTTTATCACACATATATGCATTCACATAGATCACATATAGAGATGCACTTAACATCTAGACATATGCATATACTCATGTACACATAAGCATCATAGCACTACATGCTTGTATTCGTGTACTCATGTAATCTAATATCAGAATTAGACTCATTGCAAGTCTTAATTCCAGAAAATAACCTATACATAATATCATGTACTCACATTGGTCTCACTAGTCAATACCAATCTATTATCTCTCTTTCGGTAAATCTTACTTTGTCGAATTGTTTGGACTTTGCTTTCGATCGATATCTACACAAATATACAATCCAATAAATATAGGAATTCGAATTATTCTAAAAGATTCTTACCAATGTAACTAAATAAAGCACTAATTTCTAAGTTCCAACTTAAGTAGTATTGGTACTACGAGTACAATACTGATACTTCTATGCTTGTAGTATCGATACCATCCCACGATATCGATACATATTCTTGATTCTGAAATTTTATTGTAAGAATAGTATCGATACTTTCACCTTGGTATCGATACCCATGGTACCGATACTATTACTTCAGTATCGATACACCATGAATATTTTACCAACTTTTGCCTTATGGTATCGATATTGTTCATGCAGTATCGATACCCACGTATAATTATCACATATTTTTGCCTTGTAGTATCGGTACTTACTCATCCAGTACCGATACTACTAACCAAGATTATACATCTTTAACCCGAAAATTACCCACACTTCACCTAAACTCCACTTATAGAACTCCCTTCATGCCATTAAACTCAACTATATATACATAAACCATTTTTATCACTATAACACATCATTATCTTTAATATTTCACCATAACTCTTGAAATTAAGAATTTTACTAAACTTTCAACATGTTCTAAACTCATTTCTAATGCTTTA